CTCAATTTTCTTTTTGGTTTAGTTTTATGGATTGCATTCTTTTTAAGTTTCGTTTCACAGATCACTTTCTCTTCACCTTAAGCCAAATACAGTGACGCAAACATTTACCAATAAAAGTGTGGTTGCTAACGTCCACAGTGTCCTCCCTTCGGAGGAAAGCCCGCACCCAGATGTGAGGGGAATGTGATCTGATAAACTCTTCTGAAAAACAAAAATGTGAAAATGTAAAATCTTTAAAAAAAAAAAAAAGAAAAGAAATAGTTTGAAAACTAAATCTGAGAAAACTAAAAATTTACCCTCAAATTTACCCTTTTTTTTAATTATTAAAACATCTTTCAAAGGTTCATTCCTGATCTATTTTTATATTTTTTTTTTTTTCAGATTTCAATTTGGAAAAAAAACATTTTCTTTCATTACAACAATAATTGAATAAATTCACTCCATAGTTTTTCTTTTGTTTGTATTTTCACTCAAACCTTCCTTTTAGTGACTCTTACACTATGTTAATTTTTTCAAAAACATAAAATTGGAGGGGGATATATAGTATTCAAAAGCAAAAGGTTATCCATAAATGAACACTGTGTCTAAAACAAACTTTTGTTTCAAAGTCAGCAGGCCGTCCTCTGCATATCATCAGTCTGACACTGAATTAAAGCATTGCTTGTCCACAGCCCTCAGGGGGATCCTACAACTGCTTAATGTAATATTGTATGAATTTGGGATTTCAAAATGTGACTAAAAGTGCATTTTTTTTAAAGTTGCCTTGTGTAGCAACATCCCTGATGTATTTTGTAATAATTTTTGTAATATTATTTACTGTAATAACAATCTGACGTCTTGTGGTGATCATTACAAAATGCTTCTGTTCCTCTTTTTCAAAACAGATATAAATAAGGTGAAGCAGTATTTAGTTATCAATCCACTAATCCCAAACTGTACAATAAAAAAAAGTCATGTTTAGGAACTTTAAAATTAATATATTTTTTTCTAAATCTGTCAAAGTCATGTAATTTAGTTGCTTATTTAACTTTATTGCCATGGCACGAATATCACATTAACTGTTTTTTTTTTGTTTTTCCAATACATCGACTACCAAAACAAACTTTGTTGTCAAATTAACAAAAGCTAAATATTCCACTGAAGCAAAGGATCTGACATTTCTTTACAAACTGCAAAGCACAAATAAAAATTAAAAGTTAAATATTCACCGCCAATATGAGGAATGTTAGAAGTCCTCCATACAGGAGATCAAATGGTGAGGGACGCCTTTTTGTGACTTTGAGAAGACATCCAGCTGTTTATGGAGAATTTGAGAATTTAGATGCAGAAATCATCGGAATTGTTAAGAAAAATCCACCATGCACTTCTTAAAACCAAAGCTCAATGTAATAATGTTTCTAAATATGCGGTGTTACAGATCCAAAGATTCTCTGTTTATTTTGGGCTCTTGCTTGGCCTTTCAGAACATCAACATTCTTCCAGTGTTTGTTTGTTTTTTTGTGAGTTTTTTTAATATGTTTGCCACCTGATTTCCTCAGATTAAATGGAGATATTTATCATTTCCCTCTAGTTTTGAAAACCAGCTTCTATAAAGAAGAGTTTTTTTTCCTATGAGCATCATACTCCTACCACTTAGTAACCTGTGAACCCTTATATCTAATATGTAGTTTATTTAGAAATTAGAGTAATTGATCAATCGATGTTATGATTCCAATAAAACATTGCGTCAAATATTTGGAAAATTTTTGCCTAAAGACATTCATTTAAAATTTTTACAAAAAGCCTTTTGGCTTCATGTTCATTGGTGCAAAAGTCAGCTGCAGATCGCCTTCATAAATCCAAGTCAGTCATAATGACTTACTTTTTTTATGCAAGAAAAAAATTGATTTGTACAGTGAGAAATAAATGGCCATGAAGTAAAATATGTATTTAATATTTACTAATAATGTAAGTTGGAGTTTTCTATTTACAACAGAAATATTACCTGTTTACAATCTCTAATCATGGCCCTTTTGGGCTTCCATAAATTAATCCTATAAAGATTTCTTCTTGTGGGAAACGTTTTGATTTTAGCTTTTAGTGGTCCAGCTTCTTTGATCCATTTAACTTACCTCTAGCCTAAACCTGCAGGCGCTGCAGGGGAGGAGCCTCATGTCATTTCTGACCAAATGACTTAATCTCACTAAGATAAACAACAGATCCCTGTTTGTTTGTTTTTAAGCACCATAAAAGCTCTAACAATTGCTGATGACAGCCTGTATAGAGCCAGATGTCTGTAGATAAAAGTGATCTGAAGTTGAGCTAGACCTACAAGACTCTAAATGTTAGCACATTCACTGGGAGATATTTCCTTTTGCAATAAAAGTAAGACGGTTTTCCTGTCTTAAATTTTACTAGGTCAGATTAAAGTCAGTCGATCATTCAGCACATTTTTTTTTTCACAAAACTCTGAGTTTGCAAATTCAACCTTCCAGGAAATGATCTGGCAGTTTTCTCCACCACATTCACAGAGAAGCCTTTTTAGTGATGAATGTTAAGGTGAGAAGCAGGAACCTTATTCCTGTTTGATGGCGCCTCTGCCCCATCGTTTACCTCCTGAATCACTGTGTTCTTTTTCATTAAGGTACTCAATATGTCAATATTTTTTAAATTCCTGTTTTGTGGTTGTTTTTAATAATTCGATTAAGCGAACTAATCTAACTTCAAAGAGATATTTCCAGTCAGCAATGCTCATATTTAAGATCCACAACCTTCCTCTGTCCTCCTCTCCAAGGTCTTAGAGTAATCGCCCAGAAGTTTCCAAGCGGGATGACGACAGGCTGCATCCCAGCATCATGCCTCTCCTCTCCTAACTCATCGAAGGGGAGGAAATGCTCTGTGGTCCAACAGTCAGCTCAAGCTGCCGAGAAACGTTGGAGGTTTACATCGGATGAGCTGGACAAGATCCAGGAGCAGCTGGATGAGATAACCGTCCCCAGTAACTCACAGAGTAAGAAATAACCCAGTCAGAAAGTAAAAAACGAAACAAAAAAATGGACAATTAGAAAGGTCTGTGCATTTTAATTGGGAATGATTTGTTATGGCTCTTTATTTTAACTCCCCATTTAATGTGTTTTCTTATTATTCAGGCTGTGTTTCCACTGGGGCCCACATTGGTTATAATTTATAGAAACTGTCCCTGTATTTGCAGCCATGATTCTTTAATTATCATGTCTAATTTAGTCAGATCTAGAACAATATATTTAAAGTTACAGCCATGTTATCTGACATTTTTTTCTATATATGCCAGTTACTCACTCTGGTTGCATAGAAAGTTTTTATGACATATTGTGGTTTTTTGCTGGCCAAGTATTTGTTTTAGTTTTTTAAGTTTAGTTTTTATTTTTTAGTAAATGTAGCCGTTGTGTGTACATTTACCATTACATCATGTGACCAGGATTACAGCACTTCTCATTTATGCATTTGGTCAACAAGTCGAAGCAATAAAGGCGGGCAACTGTGGAGCTCTCAGTGTAGCTGAGAAAAAAAGAAAAAATTCAAGATCAAGTTTAAAAAGAAGCAAGATGATGTTTGATTCCAAAAGGGATCAAACTTGAGTTATGTTAAGAAAACAGTCGGAATTTTGAATTTCACTAAAACTCAGGATGTGCTCTGATGTCTGTGAAGTTGATAGATTATGATAGATAGATTTAGTACATGTCCTTGCTAATAGTGCTACTGATGTTAGCAATGCATCTACAAGCTGTAGGTTTTCTGCAAGGCATTACAACATGATCAGGAGTTACTGGCCACCATCTGGTTTCTGGTAGTTCAGAAGTACTGCCAGTAGGTCAGCTCATTGCACCCGGTGCTGTGCTTCTGTTTAGGCTCAAAAAGGAAGATAGCTTTAAATATATAACTTTATTTTATCATAAACTGGATTTTCCTTTTAAAATAGGCATATAACATGACTTTGTACGAAAGAAGCTGAAGCTGGTAACCGGATCTGACTTTTGTGAAGAGCTATGAACTGTTGCATCAAAGCTCATCCAGTAGGCTAACAAACAATCTAGCCGTCTCTTTCAGGGGACAGACTAGTTGCTGGAGTAAACTGTCCAGTTTCTAACATTATGCCAAAATAAACTCCTCCATTATATTGAATTACCTTACCTGACCAGCAGAAAGCCTGAAAGATGTGGGTCATTGGCACAGATGTAGTTATCGTATATTTTCCTTTGTTTTTTTTTTGTTGTTTGTTGTAAGTTCAGATAGTTCTCCATTATAACAGAAAGTAGAAGGAAGAATGATCTGTGGGTTTTTTTTTGCCAGTTTTATAAACTCCTCCCGTGCCTTCAGAACATTTTCAATTACAGGTAAAACTCACAAGGCTGGCAAGTTTGTCTCCTTTCAGCTACTCTGATGAAAAATGGTGTCCCAACAAGGCATCTCCCATTGGCTGCACCACCCTTTATGTATCTAAAAAGTACTCACTCTGAGCTATGACAAAGCTTTCAATTTTGATTTGATGTCATTAGACTTTAGAAGAGTTGATATATATTCAAAGCAATTCTTGATTTTTAAATTAAAAAGCCAAGTTTGTTTCTCACTGTCCCTTAAAAGAAAAGAGCTGCTCATTTTCAAACTAGAAACTATTACAAATGAGCTAATCTTCCATTTCTTACAGAAAAAGAAACCAATTGCTAAGTTGGGAAACTCACAAGCTAAATTGTTCTGAAATTGGAAAATGAGTTTATAAATTGTTATGATGATAATATTTTGGGTGTAAAAGAAGCTATAACTGCCCCAAAGGATGAACATAAGAAAATGTGTCTTGCCCATGACTTGCACACAAAACTTTGTGGTGGAAGGTTGATATTGAACATTTCTGACTCACATGTACATCTATCAGATCATCTCTTTATGACCGTATTGTTATGTGTGCAGGCTGGTTGCCACTGATGTGTGTTTGGTGCCTTTGCAGGTATAAATGGACACAGTTCGGGCCGATTAGTGCACACATCTATTTTTTTATTGCTGTTGGGTGCGTGACTGATATCAGGTGCTATGCATGAATAATGTCAACAGAATGTAACAGTATGTTAACAGGTATGTTGGATGCAACATGATTATTTTTATAATCCAGGACTCTGTTTATCAACCAATCAATAATCAGATGACAAAAGGTTCCTTAAAGATCTTTTTACAGAATTTAAACCAAGTGAAGCTTAAATTACAGTGAGGAAAATAAGTATTTGAACTCCCTGCTATGTTGCAAGTTATCATACTTACTGTATAAATCTTGGAGGGATCTGAAATTGTTATCATAGGAGCATGTCCACTGTAAGACACATAATAATAAAAAAATTAAAAATAAAATCAGAAATCACAATATATGATTTTAGCTATTTATTTGTATGATGCAGCTACAAATAAGTATTTTAACACCTGAGAAAATCAATGATATTATTTGGTACAGTAGCCTTTATTTGCAATTGCAGAGGTCAAACCTTTCCTGTAGTTTTTCACCAGGTTTGCACACTCACTGCAGGAGGGATTTTGACCCTCTCTTCCACAAAGATTTTCTCTAGATCAGTCCGGTTTCTGGACTGATGCTAAAAAACACGGCGTTTGAGCTCGCTTCAAATATTGTCTATTGGGTTAAGGTCTGGAGACTGGCTAGGCCACAGAACCTAGATATGCTTCTTCCAGAGCCACTCCTTGGTTATCCTGGCTGCGTGCTTCGGGTCATTGTCATGTTAGAAGACCCAGCCTCAACCCACCTCCAATGCTCTGAGGGAAGGAGGCTGTTCCCCAAAATCTGGCAATACATGGCCCTGGTCATCCTCTCCTTAATGCAGTACAGTGCTGTATGTCGCCTGAGGATTTCTGGTTTGTAGATATTAATGAGTGTCATCAGGAATGCAAGGCTAAAGGCCTGTATTAATTGATGAATCCAATTAATAGTTCAAGCTCAACATGTTTGCAGTAGAATGTTTGGATTATGCTGCATCCGTGTGGTAATTTCCCCCTTTATCTATTTCATTAGATATTTGTCTCTTTCATTATGTGATGTCTTCGTCATACAGCTGGATAGAATATTGATAAACATAAAATAAACATTTACAGGGCAGTTTTTTGGTTAATTTCCATAATTTTTATCAGCATGTGTTTTGGTTGAAAAAAAAAATGTAATTCTTGCATTTCAGCTTGGACCAAAAAGAGACAATCCTTCTCTATCTGCTTTCACTTAATTTTCTAAAATCGAACCAGAGCTTTTTACCTTTTTTTTTTTACCTTTTTTTTTTCTTCCTCCCCTGCAGGTCGCCTATCCAGCCGCACATCATCCAGCAGCAGCCGGTCCATAGCTTCCAGTCGTCACAGCTCCTCCACAGCGGGGAGAAATGGCTCCAGGGCCCAGAGCAGTAGACCCTGGAAATAACACCTCTGCCAAACAACAACCATACCTCCATCAGAAAACGTCCTCAGAATGTTTTGATGTAACCACTTCGTGGGTGGACATTGGCTACAGACATTTCACTACTTTTTGCAGTTGCCTTATTTCATCAACACTTTGGAAACACATTTACTTTGGATGAATCAGGTTCAGCTGATCAAATCCTGTTTTCATGCAGAAATGTTCTTTGCTGTGATCTTTGATGTGATTTTGCTGTTTAAATTGCTTCTCTGTATTCTAAGTTTTGCAGAGTGCCTGATCTGTTTTACTTTAAAAAAATCCATGCTTGCACTCAGATTTTAGTTTAAGTGACTCGTTGCTTTTTCTAAGATCCTTTTACTGAGGGGACCAAAGGCAATGCTGTGAATTTCTTTATCATATCAGATGTTTAATTAAAGCCTGGCTTGCCAGCTGTGTAAAATGTTTGTTTTTAGTGGCTTTTTTAACCAAACTAATTATTCACCATTGGTCTTGATGATCAGCAGTTTGAAATGTTTTTGTGGTTGGAAGTTTTGCAGAGTGCCTGATCTGTTTTACTTAAAAAAAAAAAAAAAAAAAAGGCATGCTTGCACTCAAATTTTACTTTAAGTGACTCGTTCAGATTTGCTTTTTCTAAACTCCTTTTACTGAGGGGACCAAAGGCAAAGCTGTGAATTTCTTTATTATATCAGATGTTTGATTAAAGCCTGGCTTGCTAGCTGTGTAAAATGTTTCAGTTTTTAGTGGCTTTTTTAACTAAATTAATTATTCACCATTGGCCTTGATCGGATAAGATCAGCAGCTGGAGATGTTTTTGTGGTTGAAAGTTTTGCAGTGCCTCATCTGTTTTAATTAAAAAAGGCATGCTTGCAATCAGAGAAAAAACTGCAGATCAATTAAAACTACGGCATTGATCATCTGTGGCCTATCTGTTTTGTCCACTGCTGTCTGTTTATTTAAAAGAGAATGTCTTCACCGTTTTGTCACAATGAGTAATATTCAATTAACATGGAGTGGTTGAATAATTATGTTTGTAAATTAATGCTAAATCATTAGATTTTTTTTTTTGCAGGAATGGATAAATTTCTCGCTTAATAAACAGAATAAGAAAATCTATTGGGAAGGCTCTTATTTCAGCATTGATCATAATGTCTGGATGAGTTTTAGGATGTATTCCACCTTAACTAGTTTGCTTAGATTTCAAACATCTTATCTAAACCTGTATGTTACAGCTCTGCAATCTTAAGGGATTGGAGGCCTAGTGGTTAGAGCAGTGCGCCAAAACCATGAGAAGTGTGCAAGTACCCGGTTCTATCCCCACAACCTGCACTCTGTGTCCCTGAGCAAGACCCTTAACCCTGATTGCTCCCCAGATGCCGCACTGTTGCAGCCCACTGCTCCACAAAGGGACGGGTTAAGATGCAGAACTGAATTTCTTCTTTGTGAGATCAGTGATGTTTTATACCTTTATTTTCATTCAGAACAAGTTCTTATTTACAATTGCGGCCTCACAAGTAAATAAGAAAAAAAACAAGAAAATTAGGAAAAGGGAAGTAGGACTAAAATAAATACATTAGTATTTATTCATCCAAAAAATGTGGGAAAAAAAATACAATCCAAAAATAAGGCTTTTTTAGATTAACTTTCCTGTTTTCTCTTTGAAACAATTTTTCATTGTTTTTTTTTTATACATGTTTTATATTTTTAAATGTCTGACCTGAAGATAAAGCTCGTAACAGTTTTTGTGTAGTTTAGACACCTTCTTTGCATTGGTGTCTATGTGTGGGGACAATCTCAGCTATGGATAAAGGGTGAGGACTGGAAATAATCCACTACCTGCAGTGTTATTTGTGCTGTTATGTGTGGGTTTAGACTTTATTTCCTGAGAGAAGTTGGGCTGAGTGATAAAAGGTATTGTTTATCATAGGCAGTGTGTCGAAACTTAAAGACATTTTCATTGCTGTTGGTTTAAATTTACTAGATGCACCATTTTATTGAAACAAGCACTCACCTCTTTTTGCTTTATCTCATTGTGTGATGGTGTACACACTACACAGAGGGAGCCACTGAAAGTTGGTGACAAAACCTAGAGGCTGCAGAGCGGCAGCCTTTAACTATGAAAGGCTGGTGGATGCGGCCGCTCCAGCAGTCTAACCCTATAGCAGCATAACTATAAAAATAGTTCAGGATAACCTAAGCCACTCTAACTATAAACTTTATCAAAAAGGAACGTTTTAAGCCTAGCCTTAAAAGTAAACATGGTGTCTGCCTCACGGACTAAAACTGGTAGTTGGTTCCACAGGAGAGGAGCCTGAAACTAAAAGATCTGACTTCCATTCTACTTTTAGAAATTCTAGGAAACACTAGTAAACCTGCAGATTGAGAGCAAAGTGCTCTGTTACGGACATAAGGAACAATCAGATCTCTGATATAAGATGGAGCTTGGCCATTTAAGGCTTTATATGTGAGAAGGAGGATTTTAAATGCTATTCTGGAATTAACAAGAAGCCAATGAAGAGAAGCCAGGATAGGAGAGATATCTCTCTTTTTAATTTTCATCAGAACTCTGGCTGCAGCATTCTGGATCATACTAATATTAGAAAATGTAATTTGTACTTTTGGATACTTATGTATTTTTTGAAAGTGAGCATTGTGATTGAGTAAGATTTGATGAGTATAAATTCTTTTACCGAAGTACTACGATTAAGTACCTTGTCCACCACCGAGCTAAAGTTAGCGAACTTCCTGATGGTAAAGAACTACAATAGTGAGCCTTAAAGTATGGACTAATGCATGGACTAGTTTCTCAGCATTACCCCTGGACAGAATATTTATTTGCAATATTCCAGAGATGAAAGAAGGAACATCTAGAAATCTGTTTAAAATGGGATTTAAAAGGACGTATAATATATTAAAATTATAGGTCCTGATCAAAAATACCTTCAAGATCTTTTACTTTATTATCTTAGATTAATTTAATCCCATCCAAAAGACTGACTGACAAATCAGCTTCATTTTCAGGGATTCAGGTCCAAAGACAATAAATTATGTTTTTGTCTGCCTTCAGAAGTAGAAAGTGTTGTCGGAAAATTTAGATTTATCTTCTAATATATTAATTTATCCTATTTACTCACTATAAAAGTTTTCACTCAGTCTGTTTCACCTTCAAGGCAACACAATTCTCTGCGTGATGGTATTTGTGGACTAGACATAGCTTCTTCCCATAACAAGCCAGATTCTTTCTTAAGGTTTATTCATAACATGGTACTGTTAATCAAAGTGGCTGTAATTTGTTTTGACTCTGACTACTTTTCCATTGTTGAATACTGTGCCATAAGGGCTGTATGATGAACTGTTCTCTCTTTGCAAAGATATGAATAAATGTGCCAACTAAGTGAAATCCATCCATCTCCGTTTATTTAACTAGGGTGAATTGTTGAATACTTTTTTCCCACTATAAAAGTTATGAAAGTTAGATTTTCAGCTCCTATCCCCTTTGCCTTTTAAGTAAAGTCCTGACACTCTCTGAAAAGACAACATGATTTGTGTCCAAACCACGTCTACATTTTGTTAAAAAGGGAAATGTGAAAAGCCATAATTCTGAGATAATTGAAAAGACTGTGAAAACTAAGTTTGCAACGTCTTTTCAACATCTATTATAGGACTAAATTGGGACAAAATCAGACCAACCAAACAGAGCTTCATTTTTAATAGCAATTTCTGGTCTAAATCAAGACTATGACAGACTGACCAGATTTAGCCTAAAAACTAATGTCTTAATGACGTCTGGTGTTTGGGGGGGAATACTACAGAATTGTCAGTTAGTTTAAGAGGCTTTTAGCTGAGCAATTATTGACATGTAATGTGCTCTGATTACTTTTCTGACTATGCTTGTGAGTATTAGGTGTGGCTGGAACATTTACTGTGTGTCCAGACTGGAACGAGAAACACATTATAAAATACAATGAGGTCACATATCATGTTCGTTTATGCCATAAACTGATCAATGTAGACATGTCTACAATTGTACAGTAATGTTCTACATGTAAAGAAAACCATACAGAAGTAATAATATCTATTTAGAGCTTTTTCTGATGTTCTCTACACTCTGGCATGGGGAAGGTTATGACTTGTTTTCATCAACACTTAGATGTCCATGGCTTAGAGCTCTGATCCAGCTTACCTTCAGTTCTACTATTTCAAGAAAGCGATAATCATTGACAAGTTTTTCAGTATGCATTTTTATTTTTCCCTATAATACTCCAAAAGTATGCATGCCAAAAGCCGGATAGCCACACGTTATTTGCCATAACTCTGCATATTTCTCTCAGTATGGGTTCTTGAAGGTGTGATCCATGATGCTCTTCAGAGCCAGCCATGTCTCGTTTGCAGTGGGGATGATTTGATTGGCAGGGAGGATGAAGCCGAAGATGCCGGTGTCCCTCAGCTCAAAGGTGTAAGAGTACTTGATTCCCTGGTTGTAGGTCCAGTCAATGGAACCACCACTAGATTGGTCTACAATGAAAAGAAAATATTAAACTTTACACAGTTTTTTCCTGATTTCAGGGAACTCAGGTAGAATATATTCCATTGACTCCTGTATGGAAATATTTTTGCTGAAAGTTATCTTATCAGTAAATTTAAAATGAGGATTGGCATGTGTGATACAACCAGACACTGCTGGTACTGGTACTTGTTTTTAGTCTTAGATCTCAGTAATGTTGCTCTCTCAATAATAGATGCTCGCTATCACTTTAACAATAGCACCAGTTTAAGCAAAGTCACATCAAAGCTAGTCTGTATCATGGCCAAACGTTTCGGGGACTTACAGATAGTGCTGATGATGCTACCATATCTATACGGAGTGCCATACAAAGAGGTCAGAGCAGTGACTGCCTTTTGAGCCACTTGTTTCTGCAAAAAAAAAGTTCTCGTGGTTACCAAACAACAGAGCTTAAAAAAATGCTGAAGGAATCTTTTAATGAATTTGCTTAATGCAACTAAAAGTGTTTTTACCAGCTCAGCGTCATCTTTTGCAGGGACCCTTGTATAGCCATAAGGGTACAAGAGCATCTGTGAGTAGGAATGGATGGCAATGAAGGCCTTGATGTTGCCATGGGATCTCAGAAAGTTTACAATGGAAGTGACTTCAGGCTCAGAATGAGCTCTGGCTCCGTGGTAGATGTTTGAACAAGGATCTCTGCTGGAACCTTGCCCTGGATGTTTTAAGCATTGGAGGACAAACAGCACATATGAATTGGTATTTTCGGTATTCAATGGAATAAGCTAAAACATGTGTTATAGTGGAAAGAGCTACCTACAGGAACGCCACCACAATATAACACACCACTTTAATTACAAGACTTATTAAACACAACCATAGGAATGATAAAGGAGCTGTACAGCGTTAGAGTATGTAATTTAACACCCCAATAAAATAAGTTAAAAAATTAGAAATACAGACAGAGTAATCAGCTCAGCTGCATTAAATCTGGAATGAGTAGACTTAAAATATATATACTTACTAGAGTATGTTTCCAAGAGGACATAATTAAAAAATCCATCTAAATAAACTCAGTCCTGGCACAAGACTGAATAAAACACCTTGTGTTTAAATGTTACCAAGGAGTCTATTTTGTTGAGATTAGATTTTTTTAAGAACCTTAAGGTCAGTAGGAAACCAGGCAGGCTAATTACTATTACAAACAGGGGTTAAAGGGTGATGTACACCTTTAACGTTACAAGACAACAAAAGAGGTGCTATTAAGACCTCTACGTAGCTCAGACTTGCAACCCGTGTTAAAATTGCCTAGGCTCTGATCAGCATGCGTGGATCTCTGCTTACGAAAAGTTGACGACTCATGGGTGTGAGTTTTCATCTTTGAGACTAAATAAAATAAAATAAAATTGTGCTGTAATCCATTAGACAATTTAACAGTATCAGTCGCACTGCTGCATCTTGTTTGGTCATGCCCACCATCTGGCGTGCAATGATGCTCACTCTGCATGACCACAGATAGATGTCAGCAGCGGCAGGGGTGAAAATAAGTTGGAATGGTAAGGGGCACTGAACTCCCACAAACTCTGCTCTTCCAGCTGTGCTTAAGCAGAAATGCTTCTTTGCTCGCACATAGCGCCGACTGCGCTTTACGCTCCATACTGATGGTTCGCTCTCAGCAGTATGGCTCTTCCTGCACTCACTACTTGATAATTATATGTGGTTGATCATCCTTTGCCAAGCGTAAAAAATCCTTTTGTCTAACTAGTAAGATTCTATTTCTTCCAGCTCAAAAGTGGTGATGCTAAACCTTCTTTATTTCTACCAAAAGTAATCCCTAAATTATATTTAAAGTAAATATTTCATTGCATACTATTGATTTTTGGATCATGACTTGTGAAAAGGTACATAGATCTTTGAATATTTTTCTGTCATAGTTCTTGTTTCTATCTATTCAAATTAATGTGTGTGTGTGTGTGTGTGTGTGTGTGTGTGTGTGTGTGTGTGTGTGTGTGTGTGTGTGTGTGTGTGTGTGTGTGTGTGTGTGTATATGAAGAACTGCATACAACTTGGATGTAAAATAATTGCCATCATGGCTTTGTCAAGGTGCTACCTACCTTTGTGAAGCAAGAAAAGGACTAAGACAAAGTGAATCCAGTAGAACTTTTTATTGTCTACCTGGAATGGGTGACAATAGTTGAATAGTATCGGTGTCCTATTTGTTGGTACTCACCAATACCGATACCACAATTTTAGTGCTGGATTTGGCCCCGCCCGATACTGGTATTGGTGCAAAACTACTTATTATGGAAATAAGGCATGTCTTGTCTAAAAACACCCTCACACAGGGGAATTGTGTTGCCTTGCAGGTGAAACAGCCTGAGTGAAAACTTTTATACTGAGTAAATAGGATACATTTATATATGAAATAAGAGAAACTACATTTTCAGACCACAATAGTTTTCGTCCATAAGACTAAGACTAAATCTAAGATAACTGTAAAAAACAACACTGGCTCTAACAGGCCGAGACAAATCTTTTAAAATTTGATAAATATGGTGCAGCACTGGTTAGAGGGATTTGGACAGATAAAACAGCTAAACTGCACACACTATGCCCTGGCTCCCTTACATGTTGCTCTCCATTCTTTACTTTCCTGATTTCTGTCACACTAGTGAAATCAACAACGCTAGCCCAGAATGATGGTGTCACCAGACATGCAGTGGCGGGGGGCTAGAGGTCACGTGAGCTTGCCAGCGGGAACGCACACCCAGCTTTTTTTGCCAATGGGAAGTGAGCCAAATTGTGCCATTTAAAAACCTGGGTTAACCCGGTAATTTCAGTGGGAAAGAGGCTTTGGATTGGTCACGTCATCCTGATCCATATCTATAGTTATTCTGCGACAGGCTTAGGCTGCTTCAGGATATAGGAATCACTTCATTCTTCTATTTCTACTTTTATCCTCCAATACTGCAGTTTTACAGGGAAGTGTTGGCCCAGTAGGTAAGACCAGTGCTTGTGCTCTGAAAAAGTTGCAAAACTTAACCTTACCTTTTCAAATGAGGAAAAACACAACCCGCTTTGTAAGAATGAAGAATTTATTTTCTTCCTTAGGATATTATTTAATGTAAAAAAAATCTATTAACAAATAAAAAAATTCTAAGCTAAGCTTTTCCTGATTCTTAACCTAATTTTGCATTAAACAGTGTCATGCTTTGGTTTGTTTTTACAGTGACTTGTTTGATTTCCCTTTAAAGAAAAAAGGAATACCTCCAAAACCAGCATTCCAGTTCCTGTTGAGGTCTACGCCGACACACCTGGAGCCACGGTTTGGTCTCCTATTCTTACGCCACATACGGTCCTGGAAACATCATAAAACTCTTCAATGTTCATATTTTATTGGGTTTCCTTGTGTCATGGTTTTGGTTCTGTTTAAGTTTTATATTTGAGTTTTCATTGCCTTTATTTCCATTTTGTGTTATTTTTGTTATTTTTGATTGTATTTGAGTTCTCTCTTGCTCTCTTGTGTCAGTCCCCTTTTCCTCAGCTCCTTTCTAGACTCATCTATTCACACGTGCTCCCAGTCTGCTGATTAGCCTGGTCTTTGTTTCTCTCTCTGATATATACTGTATGCACCTGTTGCTGGTTTGCTGTAATTTCATTGCCCCTTTTTGTGAGTATTCCTGTTTCTCAGTTTTTGTGGATTTACGTTTTTGGATTTTTGCTTCTATTGCACTTTTTTGGATAATAAATCTGCAAGTACAGAACACCTCTGATGTCATCATCCTAAGCACAGGCTCCCCTCAGGGCTGCGTCCCAAACCATTTGCTCCCTCCAGAGAGGAGGTGGAGCAGCAGGTGGACTGGTGCAAAGATAACACCTGAACTTGGAGAAGATAAAAGAGACTTCAGGAAGAACCGGCCTAACCACGTTCCACTGGTCATCAACAGCTCAGCTGTAGAGGTGGCCAACAGCACCAAATTCGTGGGGGTGCACATCACAGACACCCTCACCTGGAATGTAAACACCACCTCACTGGTCAAAGGGGCACAAAAGTGAATGTACTTCTTGCGGAAGATGAGGAGAGCCCACCGGCCCCCACCCATCTTACGACCTTATACAGAAGCAACATAGAGAGTGTTCTGACTGATAAATCTGTCAAAGTCTTCAGTGTGCATTTGGGTCCTCCTACAAATCTCCACCCTACTGTGATACCCTGCTGTTGGTTAACTGATATCTAGTTAGTAAAAGGATAAATTTCTTTATCAGGAGCACATTTAAAGCTGTCTATAAAAAAACAGATTTTTGTTTTTGTGTCTAACTGGGCTTGTCTTACTCTGGTGTGGGTGTACTGGTATCCATCAGGGTTGACCACAATCTCTAAGAAAATGTCCATTCTGTTGAGGATGGCAGTGAGAGATTGGTCCTTTCCATAATCAGTCACAATCTACAGACAAAGGCAACAGGTCATCAAATAATACCATAGGTTCAGTTCAGAGGCTGCAGAAACTGTTAAATGTTAAATGTTAATGCACCTTCTTTGCAAACCAGACACCACTAGCCTGGGTGACCCACTCTCTGGCATGGATTCCAGTGTCGATCCAGATGGCAGGACGGTTGCTTCCACCAGTGCTGAACTACAGAGAGAGGAAGCAAAAGGAGAACTCAGTCAGAACAGACAGATACAAATACATTTATATTGTGTTTTCCTATCTAAAGCTATCATTTGCTTTGAGCAACCAATTGTTTTATTAAACCTTTGGTAAAGAGACTTTTCTAAGGCATCTTTCACCTTGAGAACATTAAGTGGGCGGCGTTCATAGCTTTGACCGATCACTATCTTGCTGACCAACTTCGGATTCTCTGCCACCAGCATGTCCTGGAAACTGTAGATCTGAGAAAAAGATAAGAAATTAACCCTGACCCAAAAGATGAATACTTACGCTTTTTGGTGCCGTTGCATCGGTTGTTCCCAGCCCTGCTCCTCGAGTATCCCTGTCCTGCATGTTTTAGGTGTCTCGAGACTCTTTTAAATGAGTAATTAACTAGCACTTTATGGCTGCTGAAGAGGTCACCATTTACACGGAGAGAGGATTATATTATGTTTTAGAGTGATTTTTGGATATTCATATGATATATCTAATATTAATATTCATAAAACTCATCATCACTCTTTGACAAGTTAAGGTGTCATATTTTCACTATTAAAGGACTATTTAGTATGGAAAGTTCAGATCAAGATTATTAAACTTCCTCAAATGTGTCATTTTACATACATTTTTCAAAATCAATCTATAAGACTTCCTGTCTTCACCCCCACCCCTTACAACCCTCTCAAAGCACAAGCGCACTGCTCTAACCACAAGGCCACAACACTCCACCAACATTTTGTAGCCTCTTACAATTACTCTGCTTATATATACAATTTATAGTCCATGCATACATAGTCTACACATATAAATAAATATTTATATTCTGTATAGCACTTTTGGATAGATGCAAACTACATTGTATTGCTTCATACTTGTGACAGTGTAATGACAAAGAAGTTGACTTCTATGCTGTTCTTTGTGTTTTAAGGAAGCTTAGGTCCTTCAGCATTTGCAGCAATATGCTACATATCTTCTATGTCTGTTGTGGAGAGTCTGATCTCTTTTTGCATCATCTGCTGGGGTAAAAGACGGCCGGCTCTGTTTTAGGAACTCCTCTAGAACCTCTGGAGACTATTTCACAAAGAAGAATTCTTCATAAAGTGAAGAAAATTATGATGAACAGAGAGCATCCTCTTCAGAAGATTATTAAACAACAGCAGAGTGTCTCTGGTGTAAGACATACCGCTACATAAGATCCATCCTGCCTGCAGCTATCAACACCTAGAACACCTGGATGAAAAATAACCTATGAGTTACTGCAACATTTAATTCCCTGTTTGGGTTAATAAAGCATTTTGAATTTAATTGAATCATGTCAAAGACCTGAGAGTGGAGGGAGAAGTGGCATCATCAACCAAGATACTAGGTTCATTAATCAAATGCATAAAAAAATATCAAGATTATGACCAAGTAACTACTTGATTGACAACTTAATCTATCATAAATTCTGTTTTGAAAAGTATATTATAAACCTCCATACTTGTGTCTTTTGATAAAGCACAGCATTGCTTATTATTTGCTGTGCTTCATCAAGCCCAAACAATAAAAAATATTTGAAAAAAAAGTATTTTTTTTGCCTCAGACTTTTTGTTTGTCTGTACATTCACTTCTTATTAAAGGTAAGAAAAAAAA